CTCCTTTTTTCCCAAAAAATTTTGGGAATACAATACTGTTATTTTTAGTATTACACTGCCCCAATCCAAGTTAATATACGTGTCCTTGCAAAAATGTTGATGTCGTCAACACAAAATTGTGTAAAGAAAAAACTCAACTCGAAAATGGTGGATATGTTTTATTGTATAGTCGCCTCACCACTTTAAAAAACTTTGACTAAAAACTTTGACTAAAATTATAAATCATAACGACAAACTTTAGGTCCGAGGGAAGTTCTGTTGAAAGAGCTTTTGACCAATTTTTTTAGGTGCAGTGTTGCTTATCCACTTGAGGGCAGAGCCGGCTACAGTTTTACGAACTGGTCTCGGAAGTATTTCTCTCAAGTGGATACTTAGCTTTAAACCGGAACCACACTAGCAGGTTTGTACTCCCCAAGTAAGGGCCGGTTTATCAATGCTCAGTTAAAAGTGTCTGTTAAGTAACTGTCAGATAAGGGTAACTAGCAGTTAACGGAGGTGAAGTGTTTATCAATGTACGATGTTTCTTCCAGTTTCGTAGCTCGAAGTTTAGCTGTTACTCTCTTAAGTTGGTAACGCTCACACCACTGGAAATGAGTTGTGATTGGTCAGTTCAAAACTACCCCGACCTTGAAAGTTCCATCAGATTCGATCCGCATTCGGTATTCAACGATTGTATATCGCGTTTCACGTGATCAATCATGAAAAAGCAAAATTTAGCATTAGAAAAAAAGTATTGGAAATTAAAAATGAAACAAGTAGGTACACCTATAAATAAATACAGAGAGATCGAAAAAGAAATTAGTCAAAGTTGGCCATGCACGAAAAGGCGTTTGTCTTATTTTAAAATAATTTTTTATTAATCGTCACGTTGACAAAAATAATTTGCACTGTTATCAAACGAAATTAAAGTTTTTTTGTTATTAGAATCTTCAGAAATGGGATAAATTTTAGACAAAATTGGAAAACGGTGATTTTAATTCATTCTTATGTGTTTTAAAAGTAGGCGTCATAATTCTAATTTTAAACTGTCAATTTGACATTTAATAAAAAAAATAAATTACCCTACCACCGTGATTACGACAAACGGCTTGTCGTGCATGGCCTACTTCGATTAATTTCTTTTTCGATCTCGCGGTATTATTAGATAGGTTTTTAATTTTTGGTACCTACATTAGACTTGGAAAATAATCAGCTAATAATAAGTGTTTTTCTCATCTTTTCTCTGTCAATTTGTTGCACAACATAAGTCCTCATCAAAATATTGTTAAATTCATAACAGATTTATTTGGATTTGTTAGGTTATGTTGCCACTAACTGGTGGATAACGCTTTAACTGACAGTTTGAACTGTCAGTTAATTTATCAGGCACTTTGACCACCAGTTTTGAGCTAGCGGGTAATGATAAACAGGTTAACTCACAGACAAGGTTTAACTGCCAGTTACTTTAACTTAACTGCGCATTGATAAACCGGCCCTAAACCGAGCAATTGCTTGGCGAATTCCAGGTAGTGTGATGGGGTTGCTCGTTACTTGCCGAACCCCGAATGTTCTGGATTTGCTTATCCGCAGCTTGTCGATGTTTTGCCCCACTTTAAAGTGAACGAACATTCGGACAAACACGACGAGGTCCTAGCTCCTGGGCTATTCGGCATTCGCCAAACAATTGCTCAGTATGTATACTTTGACCAGAACTCTTGTGCGGAATCTGCCACAGACGTCTATTGACTTCCATAATTTTTATGAGGGCTTAACTAAAGATCCTTGTAAACTTGCCGCAGTCGAGATGGCTGAGAGGGGATTTCTCGAGATCTACAACGGTGGGTAGTTAAGCCCTCATAAGAATTAGTGGAAGTCAATAGATGCCTAAGGCAGAGTCCCCACAAGAGTTCTGGTCAAGGTATACTTGGCTAGTGTACTCCCGCCAAGCAAAAATGAAAACCTAACTTTTAAAGTCGCCCTAGAATTAAAGTTTGTCCAGAATTATAAGAATTTTATGAACGCCCAACGTTAATTCGTTTTACAACCCTGTCGTCAATTCTATTGTACAGGTAAAGAGCCTGTCAGGAGAAAGCCGATGTTTTCTGTACCTGAGTTCGCCACGCTCTTCAGCTGTACAATAAAATTGACAACAGGGCTGTAAAACGAATTAACTTTGGGAGTCCATAAAATTCTTATAATTCTAGACAAACTTTACCTTAAAAGTCTGAACTTTTGTCAAATAATGTCTATTACTCTTCTATTTATGCATGAACACTTGCACGCTTGACTCATTTTCAGCAAGATCTTGTGCAAGTGTTTATTCATAAATAAAAGGGTAATGAATATTACTTAACAGAAGTTCATACTTTTTAGCTTTAAAAATTAGGTTTGCCACTTGTATTTTCCATTACTACAATCTGCTAGTGTAGTTCCGCCTGAACTTGGTAGTTTACAAAAGTTGACTTTATCCCTTTTTACCATAAATCATTTCGCCTGATTGTGAAGGAAAATTATGTACCGGACAGAGATTTTCGTTTAGCATAAGGGCCAATTTTGTTTAAAGGTTCAAGTGGTAGGGGTTCGCTACTCTTTTGACTTTCTAGTTCACTCAAGAAAGCTGTAAACACATAGATCGCCGCACTAACATCTCACTAACACCTGGTTGCTACGCACATGAGCGAAACACAATGAATGCTAGACAAACTCGATGGGATGGGGCTGTACTGTACTGATGAGATCCAACAAGATCGAAACTGCAGTTTACAGCTTCCCAACGGGCTGTCTAGCCTTCGGTGTGATTAACCACTTTGCAAAGCGGTAGATTGTTTCTGTATGGAATCTAAATTGCCGTTTTCGCTCTGTACTAGCAGGTATTGTTGCTACAAAATCAACTTACTTTAGTATATGTTTATTAAGGAAGGGTTGATTCCAATTTTGATACTTTAAACACATTTGATTCATTTTGATCTTTATTATATTTGACTATTGTAAATCTCAATAAGTTTCATCATATCATAAGTAACAACCAAAAATCTTTTAAGTACAGCCGATGGCATATTATTTGGGTAACTAGATTTTCCTACTATAAATATAGATATTTTTTAAAATCATAGTTGTATGAAATTTTAATCGTTAATCAGTAAATTGGTGTCATGTGCTTTGCGATACATTTGAATTGTAACCAAGCTTGAAGAAGGTTGGTCCATGCGATATGTTGCACACCGTTTGAATACTAGTAAGAGTAATAAGAATAAAAAAAGCTAGTTTACACCGCTTAAACTATGCAAAAATTGCTTACAGTACTTGGCCCAGATGAATATGCAATCGACTGTACACTCGTTAATTACATACTTCATTATCGATCAGTATCGAAACATATTATAAAATTTAAATATGATTTACTTTGCAAAATTTTGGATTACATCATCAGATTGTTGGTTGGGATGATCAGAAAAATATTGATTACCGTATTTTAGTGCTCTAATGAAAATTGTGGTTTTAGGATTTCGATTTTTCCAAAAATACATCCAAAATTTCACAACAATCAGTTCAGTAGTTTTCGAGATACTTGTCTAATAAAATCTCCGATAGACGACCCAACACATAAATGTTCCATACCATGTAATGGTTTCAGTTAAAAAAAACGCCGACATCATATATGCATCATATTTGCAATGTACTACATTAAGGTTCCTCTTTTAAGCTACTATCAGTGACGTTTACAGAATTTCAATTTTTAATTTACTTACTATAAATTGCCTCTTAATAACGGATGATCAAAAGTCTTCAGATTAGGGTAGGGCCCGGAAATATTTTTAGTTTCTTTGATTAAATCGGTAAACTTTACAGATGTCAGTGTCAACAAATCGAAATGAAAGGCTACGATTCAAATGATTTAATTTGGAATATCCAATTTATAATGCCGCCATGGATTCGTCCTTTACGGTTTTCGCCCCTTCATTGTAGGCAACCCATAATTTGTGAATCGGAAATAAACATAACCTTATTCGAAATTTAACTCGACGAGTTTGAATTTTGACGAGTAAGGTTTAATCAAAGAAATGAAAAATATTTTCGGGTCTATCCTAATCTGAAAATTTTTTGATTACTGGTTATTTTTATTATAATCCGATTTTTTTTTTTCAAAGGATTTTAAAAGACCAAATAAATTTCTAGGATGTATGATTATTCCGTAATTTATTGTTCCAAAAATGTGTTCTAACAACGTATTTAAACATAAGTATCATACATTTTCGGTGTTTCATAAGTTTGGTTCATGTACGTCCGCTGGAGTGTAACCGTTATGAAAGTAATTATTTTACTACACGCAGTGTACGTGTTTTAGCTTCAGCTTAAACAAGAATTATTATTCAAAATTTTTAATTATATCTATGTTGCTAATTTTCTTAAAGCAATATTTGGGTAATCAGACATTTTTGTGGTATACGTTTAAATGCTCAAGATGCTTGTATGATGTTTTTCTAATATTGATATTCACCGCATCTTCTTAAATCCACTATTTAATTTTTTGTTGTCCTGTAATAGGCCGGGCATCAAACGTGCAATCTTTCCATCAACCGTTCGAGGACATACCTATTTCGGCAATAAGTATCAAAATGGTTTCACGCATAAATACGAATGGAAGTGTCTGCGTATTTTCTCAGTACAACCCAAAGTAGAATAATAAATCAAAATCGAATTACGTCGCAGTTGTTCATCAAACATCATTTACGTCTACGGTCAGTTTTCGCCGGCGCCTCCCGGAGCCATCTGTAAAAACGCCAAGATTGAATTAGGTAGAAAGGGTGTATAGGTGGGGCGTCTTCGATTTTCCAAAATTAAATTGAGTTTTCGAAAGGTTATGTTGGCGGGGCCTCACCGAGGCGAAGGCGAACTGCGAATCGCGTCCCATCTCTGTCGCACCAGTTGCCGGCACCTAGAGGATGCGTTCGGAGGATGATCTGCGCGCGCCTCTCGTCTCGTTCATTGATCGTCCCCACCTCCGCCGGCATGTGCCCCTCCGCCACGGCAGCCGGGGTAGTTGAGCCACGGCACCCTGAACGGGCGTTGTTCGGCTTTTAGAGTACAGAACAACCCAAACTAAACGCAGAGCAGAGCGGCCCTTCCAGAGGCTGCAAACAAACATATTGTGCCAATTGCGCTTTGCCTCGTGCAGTGTTTTTATGTGCATCGGACTATAACAAGCAGCCAAACTGTGGGGTGCCGGAGCCTTTTTTCTTCCTCCTCAGGGAATGTACTACCCGGTAAGTCGCCGCACCGCACATGGCCCAGAATAGCATCTCGCATCTGGACGGCAATTCGTTTCAACGCCGTCTGGCTCGTTGAAGAAGAAAGAACTTGTTCTTTATATGTGCGGCTCGCATTATTAATGATAATACGGTTGCTTGCCTTCTTCTTTCTTCTTTGCGTCTTCTTTTTCCAGAGGATTTTACGTTTTACAGACGGGTTTCATTATGTGTGGCTTGAGTTTATCCAGGCCCGAGATGTTGTTTACTTCCAGTGGCGTTCCAATGAAAATTTAATCGGTAGCGGTTCCAAGACGAGTCTCTATGTTTAGATCGCTGTTGGATTGTAAAGTATTTAAGTAAAATTAGTGCATGATTCATGTGAATTTACGAGACACATTAGGACATTCATCCCAATTACTGAACTTGAAGTTTCAGGAACATGTTACTTTCTGTAATAATCGATTTAAAACATAAATAACAGAATAGAAGAAGAAACATCCCGTGGCGATGCTTCTATTATTGTTTAATAGATATAAATATCATAAACGTGTGCCAATATTTAAAGTGAATATAAATCATAGCTAGTTGATTTATAATTATAAGTAATTGTCGTCAATGGGTAAGTTGGTGAGCGATATTGGCGCCTTGCACCATCCCACCACTTTTGTTTACATTTTTTTGGAAAGATATTTCTTTCATTTTTTTGCGATTTTTTAGTTGTTATGCATGCAGGGTGTTTCAACGAAAATTTGTTTTTGTGGGCATTTGTATATCTATATATATTTTTTCATTTATTTATTATATGTAATAAGATGGCCGTTTGCCTTACATTTTTATTTATATTGTCGAACTGTATTCACCTTCCATGTGGAATTAGCCGTAGTATGTCTTCCAAAAGCTTTGGATATAACGAGCATAGATTTATAACTGATTTGTGGTTTACAGTTTAAATTTACGTCAAAATTGTAGTTTATTATAAAACACAAACAGATTTAAAAATATTATATTATATTAAAATCCATATGTTTTGGATTAAATTTGTGTCGTCACAAAACAGAAAGCTTTCTTTTCGCACGTTTCATCATAATTTTTGATTCCCAGTACGTTTATTTATTGTTTTAGTATTTATTACCAATTTTTTAGATGCTGTTCTAAGTTATTTAACCCAATCATTTGCAAAACTCCGTAAATTATTTATTGTCTTAATGAAGATACTGGCTGGGTTAGTGCCTATCGGAGAAGTTGTGTTTTTTCAAAAATTACATTGGTGAGGCACGGGACATTACGTGTAACTACTCAGAAAAGAAACAATTTATGCGACTAAAATTCAACGTTATGAGTATAGTTTTTGTGAAGTGTACATTGTCTTCAAATTTGGAATAGAAAATATTGTTGATGGCATATTATCACTTACTTAATGACATCTTTTGTTATGTTCGTGATTAGGATTTTCGTACTAAAAAAATTTTTTACTCTCACAAAAGTGTTATCATATTTCTATGTGTTGGTTTTCAAATTAGAGTGTACCTTATTTCTCTTGAAGTCACTCTCTATAAAAAAATAGATTACAATACAATCATACCCTAATGAAACAGTAGACACATTCAGCAAAAAGTTTAGAAGAACTTATTAACCCTTCATAGTAAAATATGTGTACAAACAGATAATCTGAATTAATAGATAACAAATTAAAATTGGTAAGCAATCAAGGTTGTTCAAACAAATTTTTATGGAATCTTTAATGCTTTAACAGTTTTCACTTGAGCATTGTGTAAAATGATACTCCTATTAAATATAAAATTGATTCTTGCATAGACTTCAAACACATTGCGTCTTATTTCGTTGTGTTTTATATGCATCGCAGCCTAACTCTGGGATACCGTCATACCGAAGCCTTTTTTAGTTTCAAACCGTTGCACATGGCCCAGAATAGCATCTTGCACGTGGAGGGTCATTTGTTTCAATGTCTTAAGGAGAAGAAAGAACTTGTTCCTTATATACAGGACTCGCTTTATTAATGTCTCTTCTTCTTTTTTGTCCTATACATCGTCTTTTCTCAGAAGTCTGTACATCTTACAGACGAGGTTTGTTATGTACATATGTATACTTTGGTTTATCCAGCCTCGGAACGTTGTTTACTTCCATTGGTTGTTACATTGAAATCTTAGCCATGCACTCAACAGAGGTTTCAGGACAAAGATTTATACTGTACGGCTATGTTTAAATTGGGGTTGGTCGTAAAATATGTAAATAAAATTATCATGTGATTCATGTGAATTTACGAGATAATTTTGGATATTTGTCCCAAGGATTGAACTTGAAAGCGGAGAAATTTCTCAAGTTCTTCATTACATTTATGGATAAAAGATGTATCAACTGCGGTTGGATTGATTCAGAAGTAAACGCTTCGGTCTGCCACACCAATAGCAATAAATCATTCGTCAATAAGGTTTACATAATATTTTGGTTTGTTTAATTGGTTGTGTGTATAAAGGATATGTAAAGATTGTAATTAATTTACCAGTAGCTTCTTCTAACGTTGGTCCATCTAACAGTCTCCTTGTGAATAAGGGCGACAAAGCGTATCTACGTTCTAAGAAGACGAAGAAAGAGTTACAATTATTCAAAGATTAATTTCTAACATTTTCCCAAAGCGTGCAAAAATACGTAGATTTTAATCATTAAATAGTAGTACCGTTGTCTGATGAAGTCACATTTTATTATGTTTTTGTTAGAAAAGTATTTAATGTAAGGACCTACAATGCAGTTTTACTGATAAAATTCAACTTTGTATTCATCGAAGTGTATAAGATATAGATCGTAGTGTGTAATTGTGCAGTTGTTGTGTAATAATTTTCCAGTTACGGTGGCCGCAGTCTATGATATCGTATCAATTATATAGTCGTATGGATCCAATAACTTGAATTTATTGTACAAAGCTTCCTGTTCAAGCTACACAATATTTTAATATTGTTTTTTTTTCAACATGTGTAGAGTGAGTCAGCTAAAAGTGGACATTGGAATAACTTTTTATTTATGAACTTTTTTATTAAGGGAATTTAGTTTACAAATAAAGACGAATAAGTTCTATGTATGCGTTACTTCATTAAGATGATATAATTGATAGAAATCACAATAATAAAAAAATTCTCGTTTGAGAAAAAATATTTTGCAAAGTTCAATATTTATTACTTTTGTTACCTTTTATTTGCTTTTGTAAAGTAATATTACTTTCCGAGCGTAAGCCAAGGAAGTATAGTAATCGAGTCCATCGGACGAATGACCACTTTTATTTTTTTAAAGCGTTTTCCTCGCTTTGTGTTTTAAATACGTTTTTATTTCAGCAATGAATCATCTATTTTTGAAATTCATGAAATCATTTCATTTATTATGTTTTTCATTTTTTTTAACAAAAATTCAATAATTTATTAATTTGAATATTAAATAGTGAAGCTAACAAAGCTTTTTTTACATTTTTTTTTAATTAAAAAAAAGTGCAAAATCTGGAAAATATAAAACGTTAAATGGTAATTCTGTAATATATTTTTTCCCTTGTTTTTTTTTTTTAAGCAGTGAATTTACACAAGGGCTGTTATCTCCATTTGTAAATTTAATGTCCTCACTTTTGACTAATAAATAAAGTTTTCGGGGTGTCCCCTTTTATCTGACTCACCCCCTGTATGTAAAGTTTTTTTTTTTTTTTTTTATTTAAAAAGATGAAGACATCAACCGCACAGGGTTATTAGTCTCCGGTACAATAAGGTTGAACAAAAAAGATTTTCTTAAACTTTGGATAAAAAAAGGCATAGTGAATTTTAATTTTACGTTATACGCATTGGTTTCTATAGTAATTGTCTTGTTAGTTTATCTGGTTATCGTTGTGTAATTCTTGTTTTGTCATTGTTAAGTTATAAACAGCCATTCATGTCACCGAAGATAAGATGTTTCCATTCGGGTCTGCAGTTCTATTAGTCTTTAACGTTAGGGAAAATGAACAGCCTTATACGAAACCGAAGCTGGCATTAATTTGATCTGCATAAGTATTTAATTACCAAAACTTGTTATTTGTTCGTAAACTATGCATATTAAAGTTTTTGAGTTGACGTTTCTCCTTTAGTCAATAATCCTGAAGGAAATTTCAACAACTGTTCTTCCTCTTTGAGATGTATGTATGTATTTAGTTTATGGAAGGATCTTTTATTAAGAAGCTCGCAAGGATTTAGATTTTTCTACAGTCAACTATAAAAATTGTTCATTTTCTGTACCACTTCAATTGTTCATTCTAAAATGATTTTTTTTCATTAAAAAAAAAGCATACAGATAAGGTGTTAGCGGAATAAATTCAAATTAAGTCTTCAATATGTATATTAATTTTTTATGATACCGAACAATTAATAATTAACGACATTTTTGCCAGAAATTGTTTCCAAAAAGGTCAGTACCTGAAATACTCAATAATTATCAGCCTTATCCGAATCGAAAAAGAAAAATTGTGTTTCAGTATAATTTCATATTCTCAAGTAGTAGAACTAAGGATAATTCAACTTAATTTTGTGCGATAATTAAGAGAATTGTAAAACTGGAATTTATTGACAGTGAGCTGATTAGAATGATGGAACTTGGTACGAGGATGTTTGTGTTTCAAGCAACTATTTTGTAGTCATCCAGTATGATTTTTTTTTGTTAATCATGCGTTATAATATTCATAATATTATCTATGTGGATGAGTATTTCAAAGTGAAAGTTGATAAATTAGTTTACACTATGACAAGAAATGCAGATAAAAATCTTGTAAGTCGGTATGCTAATATGTATTTACAAGAATGGCTTGTTTGTTAGGACAACAAAGTTCTTGTATATTTTAACCTCTGACATCCTTATTAAAAAAAAATCGTGAAGTTGGTTAGAATTAGTTAATGGCAAATTTGTCGATTTTTAAGTTGTATTAACTGTGATTTTCTAAACTTTATAAAAAACACAACTCAGTAGTGTTTATTTTGTATTTTGCGCATAAA